CCCCCCCCCCCCGGGGGGGGGGCCCCCCCCCCCCCCCCCCCCCCCATGCATGGGAGGAGACTGCTGCTGTACATAAATTACATGAGCAGGCTGTCCTTACCGTCTGCATGTCATGTGCCACGACGGGCTCACACAGCCGTGCCACACTGATTGATGTGTGTGCGTATTTTATTCCGAAATGAAGGCGCAGGATACATCGCTACAATGCGCGCAGCGAAGAGCTGGAAGCCTCCTCGCTCTGTGCCAGTCGCTCTGCCACGGCTCTTCCGATCGTATCCTACAACTTCCGTCCGCTCCACTCCATACTACAAAACCCTGTACTGAAGTACATCTGTGCAATTTTGCGGCGAGTTTGTATGTGTACATGTATGTATCAGCGTGAACTGCCGTCCACTCCGCTACGTTGTACATTACCTGCTGGGTCCTTGCTCCCTTCAACTCGTTGTCTGTGTGCGATTCCTCTACATAAACCGGTAGCCTGCCTATCAGCAGAAACGATCCACCCCGCCTGCGTTTGGATCCAGCTGCACAGCATGTGGTCAACCTCTGTCTCTCTCGCTCGCGAGCGACCGCTTTCCTTTCTCACCGTACCGAACCCGCGCCGTAAGCAGCAGTAGCTCGCGGGTTCCTGATGCGTCGATCCAATCTGCTTCTGCTGCTCCCACCCCGCCAGCCCCCGCTGTGCTCCTGGAAGGACGCGTTTCTGCTGATCCTGGCGCGGGTGGCGAAGGAAGGGACCATAGTTGCTGTTGTCGTTGCCGCTGCTGGTGCAAGTTGCACTCCTCGTCTCCGTGTTGTTGGTGTTGTGCTGGGTGAAGAGAACGCTCCGCTTGCAAAAGCGCTAAGCACGAGCAGGAGCACCAGGCCCAGCAAGGCTCTCGCGCTTGGAGCGGGAAGACACATGACTAGGACCAACCGTTTCTCGCCAAGGAGGACGACAACCAGGCTAGCCTACCCCACAGCTGCGCGAGCGGATCATGTGCGCGACTTGTTGTCTTGTCAAGAGAGGGGGCACGCAGAAAGTAGTATGCACATACCCCAAATGCAGGGTCTCTGGGTGTTCTTTGTGGCGGAATGGGGCGCAACAACTGGCCGCCCGCAGATGAGTTCATGTTCTCGCCCGCGTCATTGCTGCCGTGGGCCCTATCCCTCTTCGCCTTCGTTACCTCGCCCTGCTACGGCCTTCGTCCTCGATACCTGCCCCCGCTCCCTGCATCCCCAGGCACGCCCACTCAGCCCATGTCCGAAACGATGGGAAAGCCGATCAAGTAAGCACCAGCAGCATCTACCTGACTATAAGTCCTGTTTGTCCTGTTCAGCGTATGCGTATATGTATGCGTATGCATACCATGTATTACGTATTTGCGTCGCGTGGCCCAGAGGGCAGCACTCTGCACTGCACTTACAGATACGGGTGTTGCTGTGGGAGTTGCTGCTGACGGGGAGGACATCCGTTGGGAGTGTGCCCTGGCGGTGGTGACAGATGCTGCCGGTGTGGCTGCATTGGCTCACGTCGGCGTCGTGTTTTTTTCGAGAACCGCCCGATCTATCTCCCCATCGATGCAATCGTCCCTCAATAGCAGCCCCGTCAGGATCTCCCCTCGCGCAGCACACACTCGTATCTGTAGCTCTGCTGCGGGGTGTAGCTGGCTTGGAGGCCGCAGCAAGGATCCAGGACGTAGACGCAGTCTCCTCAAGATACTCCAGCGCAAAGGAATGGACACGATTGCCCTTTAGAAAATGGTCTGTATTCCAGTCTGTAGTCTTACATGTTCAACCAGGATCGATCCCCGCTGTAGTTTCAAGAGATCCCACAGCAGCAGCTGGACCAGAGAAGCACAGCTTCCAGCAGCAGCAGCTGCAGGAGCAGCACACTTTACGCTCGTTAGGTCGATCGCGTAGTTGGTAGCGGTGCTGCTCGTGCGCCATCATCTCTCCCCGTTAACAAGTCGTAGGGGAGCATGCAGTGTTGTTGAAAGAGGCACGCGAATCAGGTGTATGTATGCATACGGTGTCAAATTCCTTCTGTATGTGCAACATGCGCCTTGCTCTCTCTCTCTCACTCCCCGTTGCTCTGCTCGCGTTCGCACTCCGATTCATCGGGTTGGCTTGGGTGGGTTTTCACGGCAGCAGAATTATACTGCATGTAAGCAGCAAGGATTAGTGACGCCTGGTAGGCACCATAGGATCTCACCTAGCGGTGTACGCTGTATCTTCGTATCTTCCGCCAGCCGTTCGTTGACGGCGGACTGCGCACTACAAAAGTTGACGAAGACAAGAAGACAGACCAGCAGTCTCTGCGAACAGGCGTGAGAATGACCAGACGGCAGCAGCAAGCATTTTTATTTGTAAAAATAGTCTACAGCAGTTGTAGACCTCTGCAGCAGCGTGGTAGTACTCACGCAAAGGGCGCTTGACAACGTCCGCTTCGCAGTCGCCACACAGTACGCTCTCGTCTGGGCTGCATGGCGATGTCAACTGCGTGTGCGGGTTGAGTTTTGAGAATATTAATGTTGAGACCACTGCTGTGTGTGTGAAAAGTTGTGCTCGTTTGTTCGAAGAGAGAGCGAGGACGCACAACTCAACGGACTAGAGTAGCGGCTTCGGTTTAAAGATGTTTAAAGTTTAAAGGTACGGGTTTAACAGAGGTGAACTGGCGTGGCACTTGGCACTGGCACGAGCCTTGGCCGACCAATCAGAAAGCGTTAGTCGTAAAGATCCACTTATCAATGTAAACACTACTGCGATATTGAGGAGGGCTTCTCCACGATGTTTTTCTCGTTGATGCAGTAGAGAAATACAGCAGGGGATGTTTCCGCCCGTGGACGCACACGTCTGACGACAGTTTTGCATATATCAGCTGTCGCTCGTTGTAGCGACAGCTATTATTATAGTATATCTTTGTTGCTCTGAGACCATGCACAGAAATGTACTACTAGCACCACCGGAAAATGTGTATTCTACGTGTGAGGAGCAAAAAAATAAATAATCCTGTAGCATACGTACGCCAGCTACATCTCTAAAATTGTTGTTGCCTTTACCTCGAGACACACGCTACTACTTGCCTCGGTTGCATCGATCGGCAAAAAACTGAAACAAAACGAAACACCAACGTTGTGTTTTGTTTGTGCCTTGATCCATTCTGCTTCATCGAGGTCCTCGTGACCCAACCACTCCGTCGTTTTTCGTCGAGCAGTCAGCTCCCGGACCGCCTTCGCAAGAAATTAAGTTTGTAAGGAAATAGAACAGCGAGGGGGTACGCAAACCCTATCCCTGTTTCTAACCCTAACCCAACTTCCCCGATTGCCCACTTTGTCTGACATGTGTACTTAGGGTCAGGCTACTGTTCGCTCCACCCACGCCGCCTGCGCCTCCTCTCCCATGTCTCTGTCTCTCCGTTTTGTGTGCCCCCTTACCCCCCCCCCCCCCTCGCTCCGTCTCGAAAGGGACGCGTGGTCAATGGTCA